TCGGAAAATTGTTAACTCGGTAACCAGAAAAGCTGGAAAGCTGAAGTTCTGAAGGAATGTTCCCTGTCTAAGTACAACTTAAGAATTTCAAATTCAGCCTTGAGATATGTCTGGTCCTTACGTAATGTCACTTAAAAGTCTTGACGAAAAAATTTCTCACTGAACAACTAGGCTACTTTTAAAGAACGATTGTTAAATGGAAAATGTACATTTACTTTGCAAAAATGTCGTGATTTGTGCTGTTGACCGCAAAAGGTAGGTGAAAAACAACAGCCATTCATGCAGTTAATGACCTGAGTACTTCAAGTTCGGTGCAAAAACGCATGATCGCACGGGCCCGCCCGGTGCTTTCCAGCCTGGGTTAATGAAATGGAAGTTTGCATTCTTTCAAAAAATTTGCATTTTCATTTTTTCAAAAGCTACCATTTACAGAAAAAAAAGATCGAGCTTCATGTAAAAAGCTGGTAAAAGAGCGGACCTGCAGGTTCATGTGGCTCTACGCAACACTCTCATTTCGACCGTTGCCCATTCTGTTGCATGGCAGACGAAACCAATGCATGGCCAATATGAACCCAAATATTTGGCTGCGGTGCAGGGATTATTCCTGCTATTAGCGACCCGCAAGTTTAGTGCAAAAACGCATGATCGCGCCGGCAAGCCTGATGCGTTCCAGCCTGGGTTTTTAAATTATAGTTGTTATTCTGACTCATAAAATTAGGGTTATTATTGCCTATGATGTTAATAATGCTTTACTTGGTTAATTCTAGATAGCATTTATCATGAAGTATGAAGTAGAAGATGATTGGGCTGCTGACCTTCCGAATGTTATCAAAGAAAAGTGGGTACCGCAACTGGACCTGCTCGGTGAGTATTTGTTTGAAAATATTTGTTTTGGTAGCTATGAATAAATGCAGAATTTGGTTATACTTTGCTGCGGTGGTCATTCGACCTGTTCTAAAACATTATGGATATGACGATTTCGGATTCGTCTTTGCATAGAATGTTGCTTGAACACGTCCGAAATTTAGCTGCCTTTCGTGTGCTGGATAAATAGAATTCATGATGTCAGTCTATTTTTTTTTAAAAAAAGTTTCTTTTTCAAAGCATGGAGGAATAATAGACTAATTTGCATCATTTGTTCAGCATGATACTATGATTTAATATTCCAAAATTTCGAATTTCCTAATTCCTCACTGTTGTGAAATTTAGCAAAAACCGAGATCATACGTGGCGAGTGATTGAGACTTAAAAAGCCTATATCGTTTTATTTTTCAAGCTTTTTGCAAAAAATCGAAGGGCCAAAGTTTTTAGCGTGTTGTTTGCCTGATCTTCAGATTATAACTTGATTTCGCCTGTTTCTAGCTGGCATGAAAATTAGAAGCTGATTTAAGATGTAGGTCGTAGAAAATGGCCTGGGAATATGTTCGCCGAACTCCATCGCTTTCATTGCACACGGCTACATTGTTTTCTGGCCAGTCTGAGCTTTCAATTTATTTTTTAGGGCATCCGAATCTGCGTGCATTCGTGTCGCACTGCGGCCAGAACAGTCTGACAGAAGCAGTGCACCAGGGAGTGCCGCTTGTCTGCGTACCACTATTCGGTGACCAGAAGCATAATGCGCAGAAGGCAGTCAAGCGAAATATTGCAGTTTGCGTTGACAAGAGTGATCTGTCACCGAATGCACTGATACATGCATTTAGGAAAGTCCTTCACGACACAACGTAAGATTTTCATATTCAGCAACAAATAGGCCTTCTTGTGCTTTTCTGCAGCGGGCTATTCAATCTTTCAAGCAAGATGGATTATTACCACTGGTCAGCCTTTAACAGGAAAAAAACACCCAACTTATTCTGCCTTAAATTTCGGAACTCTTTCGGTGCTCTTTTTTCTCAGTGATGTATTCAGTGCTTTAAGTAAAAATTCTCTAACGTGAGCTTGGTGGCACTACAATTTTTAGGGCCACTTACTTAAAAGCAGCGCTGAAACATCTCGCATTCACGCCAGATTTGCATCTGCAGATTAAATGAACTAAATGAGCCGAATACGATAGGTGAAAATGTTATAATGATTTTGGATGAGAACGTTTTATTACTAGAATAGGAGAAGGGATAAATAAAATTGGTGCAGTGACTGCTGACTGCAAAGGTAGAACTCGTTAATGCAAATCTTTGCACAGGTGTTGTAAAATATGCAGATGAATCAAGTAAGATTGTTGTCTTGGAAGGCAATATCGACTGCAGAACCCATTGAAGAGCTAAAAGATAGTCGAACTTAATACAGTGATGAGAACTGTAGATTATCCAATATAGGTTGGGTATTATTTACACTTCCTAGAAGACCTCAAAGGAAATGGCAAACACAGAGACGTCGTTATGATGCGGAAAAAAAATTACATTATGCTTGCAAGAAACAATGAGAATTTAGGTATCGCAAATCATCGGAGCGCTTAAGCGAAATGATCCGGCACAAGCCTTTCTCTTCACGTGAACGTTTGTTGAGACATGTGGATTTCGCGTCGAAATTTGGGCCAATAGACAGCTTTGATATCGCTGCCAACGACTTATCATTTGTGCAGTATTACTTGCTTGATATAATCATTCCGTTGCTCCTTCTGGTTGCTCTCATCGTTTTCCTATCACTTCAATTCCTCATTTTTGCTATACGCAAGGTATTGGTGTTCCCAAAAACAAAAAGCGATTAAAAAATATTTGAAGGAGGGAAAAGACCGTCTAAGCAGCCGATTCGCCAGAATGAGTTGCTCAAA